CGCTAAACTCCAGCTTGTTTGTCGGGGTTTGCCACATTGAAGAGCGAGCTCGTGCGCATGGTTGCCAGATTGCAAAAAATACGCAAAACACCGGGCAGAAAATGTATCTTTGTAACAGCGAAGCTCTGATTCGGGGGTTTGAACTCTTGGTATCTGGCAACCGCACTCATGAAAGCTCGTATAATAGAGGCATGCACAGCAGTCTGCAATAACATTTTGTCTCCGTTTTTGACGAAAATAAAAAGACTTTGGTAAAATTTATTTTTTGAATACATTTTAGTCACGTCTTTTATCGTCAAAGAAATTGCATGTTGATATAGTGATAGTTATCGTTTATTGACCTTATTGCCGTCTCGTCTTCGTCATGGGAAAAAAGCCATTTTTCATAGTCAACAAACATTTTTTGTCATAGTTTTCGTTAACGAAATTAACACTACTCTGCAGCATAGATATACATAACGTACTCAAATAAGAGGGCATAAGTATAACGAAGCCTAAATTAGAGCATTTCATGCCAGCTGGAATGGTCACTTTATGTGGAAGGGTCATCACCACGAGTGACATTTGTTAATCTTATAGATGTGTTATGCAAATTTAAGGCAAGACACTACAGGCAAAACCATTGTTTTCTCATGCACTGGTCAGTTTTGAGATCTATTTTGCATAGTGGAAAGAAAGCATGCAAAATACACATTTACACAGTTTATGTTTGATGCATATCTTTAAAGCGTTTTTTCTATTACATACACCAAACTTTACAGTTCTATTCCTATCTATATTCTGAAGGCTTTTGCTGAGGCGTTTGTTCATTTAACATTCACGCTGATCTTTTAATATGAAACAAAGTCTCAGATTTCAAATTCTGTCTATTGTATTGCAGTATTCAAACAATAAATGCCGTTTTGGCGCTGTTTAATGTGAACTGACAGATCTCACGTGAACTGATCATCACCTCCACATTAAAACCAGTTTCAGCACAAAATAAACATGACTAAACATCCGAAGGTAAGTTAAAAGGAAGACACAACTTTACAATCTGTATCCTGTCTCGTGTAATCGCTCAATCAGTGTTTCAGCCGCGCAAAGACGTCAATATAACGGCTTGTACAACAAAGGATAAACGGATTTCCAGCACTGAATCGGCTACTAAATGTATTTAAAATGGGTATCTCTGTACAGCTGTCGCGTCCAGTGTAGACACCGTGTCTGTGTGAGAGCAAAGAAAACCGTAAGTATAAATATAACGATCAGTAGCCTATACTAAACATCGCACATCCTAAACAAATTTGGCATGTACTGTACCTGATATATATCCAAAATAAACAACATTGAATCAAATCGGTAATCGAATCGAAACGCAACGCAAGCCTGTGAATTAGAATCGAATCGAATCGTGAAATTTGTGTCAAAACCCAGCCCTAATATTTAGTCAATCTTATCCTATTTTATTTTAGTCAAGTTTTAGTCGACTAAATGTCTCAAAGAAAATACAAAGTATTTTAGTCTAGTTTTAGTCAATGAAATCTTCATCCCATTTTCATCATGCTGTATAATGGTTAAACTGACAAAAAAAAAGATTTTGCTCAAAATTATAATCGTAATGATTGTTGTCATTTGAATAATTTACTTTTGCATTTCAGGTATTGCACTTTCACCAGTAAGCACAACGCAATAGAATGTCGACTCAAACACATGGTTTATTTTATCTCATGTAGTGTACTGATTTTATTATAGGCTATTTATTATATAAATTAATTTCAAAGACTTATGCACTCTGTCTACATTATGAAAACTGGTAAAACAAACTAAAAATATTATAACAGTGAAATTCCTAATAGTAATTCCACTCATTCCAAATTGCAATAGCCTATGTTTCTTTATTAAAACAACAGCGGTTGAGTAAGTGCATTTATTCAGCGACCACAATCGCAAACAATACAGTCGAGATCTCATGACAGAACACAGAGCGGCTGAGTGATGCTTTCGTTTACATCGCTAAACTCCAGCTTGTTTGTCGGGGTTTGCCACATTGAAGAGCGAGCTCGTGCGCATGGTTGCCAGATTGCAAAAAATACGCAAAACACCGGGCAGAAAATGTATCTTTGTAACAGCGAAGCTCTGATTCGGGGGTTTGAACTCTTGGTATCTGGCAACCGCACTCATGAAAGCTCGTATAATAGAGGCATGCACAGCAGTCTGCAATAACATTTTGTCTCCGTTTTTGACGAAAATAAAAAGACTTTGGTAAAATTTATTTTTTGAATACATTTTAGTCACGTCTTTTATCGTCAAAGAAATTGCATGTTGATATAGTGATAGTTATCGTTTATTGACCTTATTGCCGTCTCGTCTTCGTCATGGGAAAAAAGCCATTTTTCATAGTCAACAAACATTTTTTGTCATAGTTTTCGTTAACGAAATTAACACTACTCTGCAGCATAGATATACATGACGTACTCAAATAAGAGGGCATAAGTATAACGAAGCCTAAATTAGAGCATTTCATGCCAGCTGGAATGGTCACTTTATGTGGAAGGGTCATCACCACGAGTGACATTTGTTAATCTTATAGATGTGTTATGCAAATTTAAGGCAAGACACTACAGGCAAAACCATTGTTTTCTCATGCACTGGTCAGTTTTGAGATCTATTTTGCATAGTGGAAAGAAAGCATGCAAAATACACATTTACACAGTTTATGTTTGATGCATATCTTTAAAGCGTTTTTTCTATTACATACACCAAACTTTACAGTTCTATTCCTATCTATATTCTGAAGGCTTTTGCTGAGGCGTTTGTTCATTTAACATTCACGCTGATTTATGCAACATTTTATTCCTAAAAATATTGTGAAAATGTATTGTATTGTTTTCTGTATGCTGACAGTATTTTCTGATTTATGGAGTGATAAAAAGAGAAATCCAAAAACTTTTAACTCTTATATGTCAACAATATCATTACTTTTGAACCTGGTTTTATCCAAGTTTAGATTTCTGCTCTGGAAATGCATGCAAATGAGTGCAGGTTTAATTAGATAATGACCCATTTGCATGTTTAACCCTTAAAGACCTAGAACATTTTTGGGGCAGCTGACGCGCCTGTAATTTTCTTTGTTTTTTTTAGCAGTCAGCATCAAGTGCCACATATCATTATAAACGGAAGAACTTGAAGTTTCAGTCTAGCTAATTTAAAGTCTCAAACTTCCTTTTTTTTCTCTAAGAATTAATGAATTTTCCAGAATTTTAAGAAAAACGCAAGCAACAATTGGGTGTTTTTTTTACTGTGTATTCAAACAGAAACTCCAAGAGTTTGGATTTTTTTTCTTTATAAAGTTGTATTTGGGTGTTTTACACTTCCAAATAAAATTTTGTCAACATATAACATTCCCCAAGCAACTTATAGCCATTTATTACAATATTATTATAGGCGCTTTTCAGTGAAAAACAGGTTTATTTAATTTATTGACAACATAAAACATTTAGTGAGTAAAGAAAATGGAAAGAGTGTTATATAATAAACAAAACACAGAAGCAAAAGTGACTTTTTTTTCCAGAGAAATATATTTTCAATCTGAGTCTGAACAACAAACGCAAATAGTGTAGCAAGTAATGAAAACAGTTGTGCAAATTGTCTTGTGAAACAACAATACAAACAGTGCAAATGATTCACAAACTACACACAAAATTAGATAGAAATATGCAGAGTGCAGATGATCTTTACAAACTGTATAATAATTATTTACATAATATAACCACCAAATGGATCGATCCGCTGGCTGTATTCCGCGTCGGAATCGATTTACTGGGACATCGCCTAGCGACGCGAAGACATAAATTCCAGTGCTTTATCCAATATGTACCGCTGTTTCATCCTTGTTTTTGGTTTGTTTTATGTCAAAGTACTCTAACAGGTTTATTTAATTTATTGACAACATAAAACATTTAGTGAGTAAAGAAAATGGAAAGAGTGTTATATAATAAACAAAACACAGAAGCAAAAGTGACTTTTTTTTCCAGAGAAATATATTTTCAATCTGAGTCTGAACAACAAACACAAATAGTGTAGCAAGTAATGAAAACAGTTGTGCAAATTGTCTTGTGAAACAACAATACAAACAGGGCAAATGATTCACAAACTACACACAAAATTAGATAGAAATATGCAGAGTGCAGATGATCTTTACAAACTGTATAATAATTATTTACATAATATAACCACCAAATGGATCGATCCGCTGGCTGTATTCCGCGTCGGAATCGATTCGACCGGGACTTTGCCTAGCGACGCGAAAACATAAATTCCGGTGCTTTATCCTATATGTACCGCTGTTTCATCCTTGTTTTTGGTTTGTGTTATGTCAAAGTGCTCTGTTGTGTATTTTTCCATGCTTTGTCAGAGTGTTCATGCAAATGTGTTATTTTGTGTTTGTTTTCACGCACGCACGACGCATTTACTTTCACTTTGTGTTTGTTCAAATTTCCAAAGAAACATGCTAATTGGTGGTTCAAAAGACCAAAACCTATGTTTATTGGTTGAATAGATAACAGTCTGAACCAATCTGTGCATGGCGGTGGGACTAAGCATCAACGATCATTCCTGTTTGGCTCAGAGGATCAAAATGCATAGGTTTCTTTTGACCAATCAGTGCTGATCAAAATGCGATGACGTTATCACGCTCACTACGGAGCCTCTGAACATCCAAATACCTCCGAAAAGCAGAGAATCGACACTTTACGACACTTTTTAAATCATTTAAATTGGATTAGCGGTTCAAAAGTTATTAAACATTAGCCGCGGTCTCGGTCTTTGAGGGTTAAACAGCATTTCAGAAAACTTGTAACAAAGTGCTCCTAATGTACTGTGATTAATCAACTGCTGAAACTGTGATCATTCCTATTAGCTTAAGCTGTACCCTGACCTGAGGTGTTTTGCCTTAAATCACTGTAACGTGCTCAACACAGAACATTTGTGGTGTTATATGCAGACTGTTGGTCTCTCACCGTGAGCAGGTACTCGACGGCGCGGTCAGGATTGTTGAAACTAGCTCTCAGTGCCGCCACCACTCTGTCTCTCTCGTATCCCATCAGCATGATCTCCGTCACCATGTTCTCGTAGGACTGACCCGTCACTGCACACACGAAACACATGCAAACTCACTTCATCCTGCAGAAATTACTACTGAATTCATAAACTGACATGGAGAATGTGTGAACATGCTAATTTACCCAGCGCAGACGTCGCCTCTTCAAATATGTTTGCATTTGGCGAAGAACTGCAATCAGGAGGAAAATAAAAACAATCAGCTTAATATGAAATGATGGTCACTTCCACTGACACAAACTGTTTTTGAAGAGACACCAGGCCTGTCCAAAAACAGCACTCACGTCTAATCAGCAATAATTGAGTATATAGATGTAGGGATGCACCAAATGTTCGGCAACCAAATAAATTGTACCGAACAATGACGTGACGCGATCAAATCCGAGAAAGACACAAAAATCATTACAAGCAGCGACAGCGAGAGACTGTTTAGCGCTGCATCGCATGTCTCTGATGAGAAGAGGAAGGGCTGATTGTTGCTGGCTACTGTATGATGATTGAAATCGCCAAACGACTTTAAACAATTAGTAAATAAACTGCAGAATGTTATGTTTTCTAATACACGCACTAATTGCATGTATTCTGACAGCGCTGCACGAGCTCGTTAGCCAGGGTTCTAAGTCCAAAGTGCGAGGAAAATCTGAAACTGAAACAGTGCGGGTTTCTGCCAAAACAAAAGCTGAGAAAAAGCAAGAACTCCATCAACATTCATAATTGCTAGTCAGGGATCAACGCTAGGGTTTTTTCTACTGGCCCTGCCACAAACAACAGCGTTTCCTTGGTTACCGCTGTAAATACAGCAGCGCTTATGGAATAGTGATACAGCGTTTCCTTGGTTACCGCTGTAAACAGCAGCGCTGCGCGTATTAAGACTAATTTAAATGCATCATACGGAGACAAAATGAAAAGAAAACGCCATTTTTGAAAACAGTCAGTTCCGTTCCACTCAAAAACACATTCATATAAAATTCAATGTTTGGATTTTCTTCCTATATTTCGCACATCGTGAACAGTGATCTTGTTCTGCCTGCTATATTCTCCTCTTTGTGTCCATCTTCAGCATCTCTGGCTTCTGTTAACGGCCGTTTACAGACTAAGTATAATAATAAGGTAATATTTCCACACAAATGGCCATTGGGAAAATGATTGCAGTGCAGTTTGTGCGCAAGCACGGAACAGAAGATAGTCTGAAATAAAACAAAAAATGTCCGGTGCATCTGTACTCCAGTGTATAAATTCAATATAGATTAATCATTGTTAAAGCTACAAAGTTACTTGCCAGGATGGGTATTTTGATACTTTTGTATGTATTTGCCCATTCAGACGGCTCACACAGCACACGAGTACTGAAAGGAGTTGTCTTTCGCGCCCAAATGCTTTTTAATCGCTTGAATTTTTAAATGAACAAGTCTTAAAAACACATGCAAATGATCAAATGTCGTGACGACGCTGCAGTTGCCGGATCGGGCAAGTGACATATCCGTCTACTGTCCCGAACGTCTTTCATGCTGGCCCCGGGCCATCGGGCAGTCCTTATTGTCGAGCCCTAATTAGTATTGTAATTTTACTGTTGTTCTGTAAAATATAAGACAATAATAATGACAATAATTACAACAGCTCTATTAATACATTTATTATAACATTCCCACATAGTGTTCAAATTGGGATCAGTAATATTTTCTAATGTTTTAAAAGAAGTCTCTTCTGCTCAGGAAGGCTGTATTTATTTGTACAGTAAAAAATACATGCCTGATTCAAGAAGGGGGTCTCAAAAATGGCCAAAAAATATTATTTTACTAACTTTTTCATTTTAAGTTAAATTGTGCTTTGTTGGTATAATGTCTGCTAGAATGCCCAGTGTTTCATTTTGTTCAGCTTCGGCCAAGAATTTTAATTTCGGTGCATCCCTACATAGACGGACACTCGTGTGTCAGGGTGTGTGTTTTTACCTGGTTGGTGTAGAGGAGGGCTCAGCGCTGCTGGCGGGTTTGTCCTCTTCAGTCGCGCTCTCAGACGGGGTTTCTGAAGAAGGGGTCGGGGTTGTTGTAGTGCTGGAGGAGGCTGCGCTGGCCGCTGTGGCAGCAGATGAAGGGACCGATGCAGGAGCCGCTTTAGGCTGCAGGAGAAACATCCCATTACTCACAACTTCACACTGACATCACATGCACGAGCTCATTAACATATCACATAACATCTATTCAGTGTTCAGTAACTAAGTGAGGACTACACCAAACTCATTTACAAATACACATCTTGTAAAGTACAGCATCAAACCGAGTTTAGTCAAGTTAGTAAGGGTCATAAAGACAGTGAAAAATAATCAGGAGAATCTAAATCATGACTCATCTTTTTTTTTTTTTTATATGAATAACTCAAAAGTAGGTTGTACACAATCAAATCACATCACAGTATGGACCAGTGTCCAAGAATTTATCTTCCATGTTTTAAGTTGAAAACTGTTGTGCAGCACGTTGTTTGCCAAAAACAAAAGGAATTGCTCAATTTTCATTTGATTGCATTCTAAAAGATTGATAAAATTTATTATTTAATTTAATTATTAAAATTTGTATGCAATACATGCACATTAAATCATTAATCCAGGAAAATTAAAACAAATACAAATTTTATTTGATTGCATTCTAAAAGATAGATTAAATTTTTAATAATTTAATTTAATTATTACCATTTTTATGCAATACATGCACATTAAATCATTAATCCAGCAAAATTAAAACAAATACAAATTTTATGAATTCAATTGATTAGACACTTTTTGATTATGAAAATTGTTATTAAACCATTAAAACTAGGCTAAATCCAGAAAAATAAAACGGAAAACAAAGAGCTTGGGAAAATAAAACAGACTTAAGGAAACATAAAACCAATTTCACAGGGCTCTAAAAATGACGTTTCTGTTGAACTTTTATTAAACTCGTGTAAAAATGCACAAGTTTCATGATTTCAATTAATTACACATGCTTTCTGATTATTAAAACGGAATTAAACCATTAAAACAGAAAACATGGAATTTGGGAAAAATTTAACCGACTTTAGGAAAAAGTAAAACCAATTTTATAGGGCCCTAAAAATGTAGTTTTTGTTGAACTTTTATAAAATTTCTGTAAAAAAAGTTTCATGACTTGTGGAGGGATGGAATCAGGGGCCGGAATTAGCCAATTTTCTGCATAACCGGCGGATATTTTATACAATAGTAGCTCAATAAACAAGAAGTTAAAATCAAGTGACTTACATTTTAGACACAATTTTTACTGTCTGTGCTCAATTTCGCTGATGAAAATAGCTCCAATCAAAGCCACAGCAGAATTGTTTAGTGTTTTGTTACTGAATGAATTCACATTTTTGAACAAATCAAGCGAGTCAATGATTCAGTAACCCGTTCATAAAGACAGAAGTCACTTGCCTCGTTTCTGAATGAATCAGCCGTTTGAACGAATCTGTTAAAGGACTAAATGACTCACTCATTCAAACAGTCATTTGCCGCCACCTACTGGTTTGTTTCATATTTAAAACCATCATTGCATTTTCCTCAACATTTCTTATTTGTACGTTTAAATTTTTTTTTTAAACATTAATCTTATAACATTCTTTATGCATTCAGAATGTTGCAGTGTAAATGCATTTATGGCAGCTCAGCTTCATCAAACAGTCTGTAAATGCATCTAATGCCACTTCAGATGCAGCTTCTGTGTTTGCTGCCTGGTTTGGTTTCATATTTAAAACCATCATTGCATTTTCTCAACATTTCTTATTTGTATGTTTCATTAAAACATTAATCTTATAAAATTCTTCATGCATTCTAAATGTTGCCGTGTAAATGCATTTAAGGCAGCTCAGCTTCATCACACAGTGTGTCTGTAAATACAAAGCCACTTCAGATGCAGCTTCTGTGGAAAGATGGAGTTTGTTGATACTGATACATTTAATAAGATTAGAGAAAAAATGACAATTTAAGAAACAGTGGGAAATGACATGCGTTTTCAGTTTTACATGCTCTTTTCTAGTCATAGAGCACTTTATTTTGAGAGTTGTTTACGTAGACTCACTCATTCAAACAGTCATTTGCCGCCACCTACTGGTTTGTTTCATATTTAAAACCATCATTGCATTTTCCTCAACATTTCTTATTTGTACGTTTAAATTTTTTTTTTAAACATTAATCTTATAACATTCTTTATGCATTCAGAATGTTGCAGTGTAAATGCATTTATGGCAGCTCAGCTTCATCTCACAGTCTGTAAATACATCTAAAGCCACTTCAGATGCAGCTTCTGTGGAAAGATGGAGTTTGTTGATACTGATACATTTAATAAGGTTAGAGAAAAAATGACAATTTAAGAAACAGTGGGAAATGACATGCGTTTTCAGTTTTACATGCTCTTTTCTAGTCATAGAGCACTTTATTTTGAGAGTTGTTTACGTGAGAGAACATCTGTAACTTTGTCCAGATTGGGGGAATTGTAATGTTTAATCATTTTTATTACGTAAAAAATTTTTTTTGCATTAAAAAAAAAAAAAAGTATAGATTTTTGTTTGTATATGCCGTCAATTATACTTTTTAGAAAGAAACTCAGAATCGGCAAAAATCGGTATCGGCAAGTCACACTTACGAGAAGAAAAAAAAAATCGGAAATCTGATTAGGCCAAGAAAATTGCAATCGGTGCATCTCTAAATAGAACCATTAGAACAGAACACGAAAAAAAAATAAAAATAAAAAAGGGAAAATAACAGATTTCATATGTCCCTACAACAAGCAAACGCACATGATGCTTGATTTAGATCCAAAAATGGCCTCAATCTCAATCAAAGCAATTAAACTTTTCACTTCACCCATTTACATAAGCTTTCAAAATTCCTCTTGAATATTTCAGGATTTTATAGACGTCAAGAGTCACATGCATCAAACTCTGCAGCAGAGAAGCAATTGCACGCAAGCGGAGATAAGACTGATAATGCCTCACCTTTGCTACCATAATCACCACAAAGTTCTTCTCATCTATCTTGTACTCCTTGAGAGCCGCGTCATCGTTCAGGATTTTGCCTGCAGGGGACAAAATGATTAAAATAAACGAGCCGTTATTCGTCCGCCCGCAGCTCTCGCGTCTTGTCAGTCATTCATCAACAAATGTCAGAATGATGCTCCTGCATGATTGTACATTATCACTGCGTTTCACACGATAATACAGAATAAGATGATGACAAATCAGGGTCACATCCTTATCAGCTGGAAACAGACGCCATACAGTCACACCTTATCGAACGCTGAGGACGTACCTGCATATATCAACTTCTGTCCCGCCACCGGAAAGTTATCTTTTCCCTTTTCATTCTCTATTTTTTCCTTTAAGGCCTTTACCTGTGAAAGACAGAGCAGGAGAAAACAACTCAAAGTCCGATCCGAGAGAGCAAACAAGCACACAGACGCTCTTCCAAGGTTATTTTCATAAACGAAAACTAAGACTAAAACTATTGGTCAAAAAACATTTTCGTAAACTGAAATAAAATTTAAATTTCAAAATAAATGAAAAACTAAAACTAAACTAACAACAGTAACTGAAAAACTAACTAAAATAAAATAATAATTAGCAAAAATAAATAATCGTGTTCGTGATTTAATAAGCTCTCATTCTGTGCCAGAAAATCTGACCTGTGGTTGTTTAGGGAAATACCTGTAGATGGCGCTTCATGCACGTGAGCTGAATCCGACGCGGCTATTCTATTCACAGAGAATGCGTTTTTGCATTTCAAAAACAAGACGCGGGAAATGGGAAATAACTATAAAATATGAAACGGGAAATAATAATAATGCACACCTTACAGCGGACGGACGTTTAAAAGCGTGTTTGACGTGCGATAACAACATGAGAGTGAGTTAATTACAATTTTTGGATGAGCTGACTTTAGTGAATAGTCATTTTGTCACGCTTTACGATTACTACGGCAACGTCCGCTTCGAGTCCATGACACGAGCACCGCTTTGACTGTACAAAACGCATCCAAAATGAGAGAAAGCGGCAGCCGCGCGGTGATTTCACCGCTTGCCGTGTAGCTTTAGAACTGGGATTGATTGCGTTGCTCATCTGAAGCTCGTGCGCGCTGGAGCAGCTCGTCAAAGTAAAGTGCAAAGATCATTTAAATCACCATATCGCATTTAATTTTGAGTAGTATGAGGTTTCAAAGCATTTTAGATTGTTTCTTTTTATTGTGTACGTTCATAGAGGGAGAGACGGGACATACAGTAGTGTGCACCGGTGGCTCGTCTGTGCAAAAGATCCAACAAATTAATGCATTTAAAACACAGATGCGCAAAAATTAAGTTTACAGAGTTTCAATGACAATTACAAAGAACAGGGTTCCTCAAATCCAGCACTGGAGGGATCATTGTCCTGCAGAATTTAGCTCCAACCCTGATAAAAACTCAGCTGCCTGTAGCTTTCTAGTAACTCTGAAAACCTTTACATATAAGTTGCATATTTTAGTTTTTTGTTCAATTGTAAAGAATCATTTTATTTTCATTATTAAAGGGTTAGTTCACCCAAAAATGAAAATTAGGCTGTGTTTTACTCACCCCCGAGGCATCCTAGGTGTATATGACTTTCTTTCTCAGTGCAGGATTGCACCTCAAGGTTATTTTCGTAAACGAAAACTGAAACTAAGACTAAAACTATTGGTCAAAAAACATTTTCGTAAACTGAAATAAAATTTAAATTTCAAAATAAATGAAAAACTAAAACTAAACTAACAACAGTAACTGAAAAACTAACTAAAATAAAATAATAATTAGCAAAAATAAATAATCGTGTTCGTGATTTAATAAGCTCTCATTCTGTGCCAGAAAATCTGACCTGTGGTTGTTTAGGGAAATACCTGTAGATGGCGCTTCATGCACGTGAGCTGAATCCGACGCGGCTATTCTATTCACAGAGAATGCGTTTTTGCATTTCAAAAACAAGACGCGGGAAATGGGAAATAACTATAAAATATGAAACGGGAAATAATAATAATGCACACCTTACAGCGGACGGACGTTTAAAAGCGTGTTTGACGTGCGAGAACAACATGAGAGTAAGCAAATATGGAAGTGGTTTGGACCGGATCCGACGCGGCTGTTTGCACTCCAACAAACAACTGACTGGAGCCAGAAATGGAAAGCTGGTCAAAACGTTTGCTGCTTTCCTGAGAGAGTATTTCTAACAATAAGCCGTTCCAAACAGAAAGTGTGGACTAAACCCACCGAGTGTCTTCCTTCATAAAGGTCCAGCTGACTTCTGACCCGTCACTGCTGACTTTTCACCTCATCCGAGGAGGATCGCGTCTTATTTAACTGCACAAATGTGCCGTTTGCCCCAGATAAAGAGTTTTTAAGGGCAGATGGGTAAAAATAAAAAACTCTTCTGTAAACTGTCAACGTTTAAAGGAATAGTTCACCCAAAAAACAATTCTGTCATCATTTACTCACTTTGAAGTCATTCCAAACCTGTATGAGTTTCTTTCTTCGGTTAAACACAAATGAAGATATACATTAACTAAGAAAACTAAGTTTTGTAATGTCTCTTCTGCTCACCAAGCCTGCATTTATTTGATCCAAAATACAGCAAAAAACTGATTTAAAATAACTGTTTTCTATTTGATTATGTTTTAAAATTTTATTTATTCCTGTGATTTCAAAGCTGAATTTTAGCATCATTACTCCACTCACACGATCCTTCAGAAATCATTATGATATGCTGATTTGCTGCTCAAAAAACATTTATTATTATTATTATTATTGTTGAAAACAGCCGAGTAGAATTTTTTCAGGTTTCTTTGATGAATACAAAGTTCAGAAGAACAGCATTTATCTAAAATATAGAAATATTTTGTAACATTATAAATGTCTTTATCATCCCTTTTGATCAATTTAAAGCATCCCTGCTAAATAAAAGTATTAATTTCTATTAAAAAAATGATACTGACTCCAAGCTTTTGAATGGCATAGTGTATAATGTTACAAAAGCTTTTTATTTCAGATAAATGCTGATCTTTGGATCTTTCTATTCATCAAAGTATCCCGAAAAAAATGCACTCAACTGTTTTAAATATTGATAATAATAATAAATGTTTCTTGAGCAACAAATCAGCATATTAGAAAGATTTCTGAAGACTGGAGTAATGATGCTGAAAATTTACCTATGTATGATCACAGGAATAAATTATATTTTAAAATCTATTCAAATAGAAAGCAATTTGAAATAGTAAAAATATTTCAACATTTTACAGTTTTTGCTGTACTTTGGATCAAATAAATGCAG